AGCAAGTAGAAAGGGTATTTTACCTGAAATTATTATATCTTATAGAAAGTGATTAAATATGAAATTTTATGTGTGGTTTAGTTTAGATAAAATACATATGTATAACTAAAACATGTATCTTTGTGACAAATATAGTAATTTTTTTGTGACAAATCTACACATAATATAAAGATAAATTGCGCGCAATGACGAAAAAGTGCTTCCTAGAATTACCCTCAGACCAAGAAATTTGAAAATAGACTCTCATTTTCCAATTTTATCATTATATTATTTGTAGATATGTCACAAAAATGACTATACTCGTCACAAAGGTCCATGTTTTGGTTACACTTCTGTATTTTGTCTAATCTAAACTACACATACAATTTAATATAATGTTTGAATCAATGTTACTTGAGTTTCGATTTCAGAACTAATCTTTATCTATTAAATATAAATAACTTAAGATAAAATATAAATATAGAAGCATTGTTACCAAACATATTCATAGAGTTTAATCAAAGAAATGACAATAAATACAATGTAGCTTAGTTGGTTATAGTGGTCTTTCTCCATTCAAGTGACCAAGGTTCTAACTTCAGTAATAACAGTTTTTCTATATAAAGATGATCGGGGTGCAATGACAAAAATGACCTTCGTAAAATCACTCTTCGACCACGAAATTTGAAATGGGAGAATTCTAACCCATGTTTTTCCTTTATGTATTTTGTAGATGTAGACAAAATAATCTCATAATAAACCACTTCACATACATTTCCTAAGGGATCGTTTCGATGGACCAAGGTTCGAACTCCAGTAATAATATTTTTTCTATATAAAGATGATCGGGGTGCAATGACAAAAATGACCTTTCTAAAATCACTCTTAGGCCACGAAATTTGAAATGGGAGAATTCCAACCCATGTTTTCCTTTATGTATTTTGTAGATGTAGACAAAATAATATCATAATAAACCACTTCACATAAATTTCCTAAGGGATCGTTTGGATGTTGCGATTGTTAAATAGATGTATTATTGTGAATGCATGTATAATATTATTCATGTATTGACGAATTTGATGCATTGTAAAATATAGCGTTTGGTATGTGTGATTGTGTATGTCACATAAGCTAAAAGTTGAGACAAAATAATCTCAACTCAACAATATCAACAATCACATCTAAAAGTTTAGATATAATCATCATTTATTTTAAGTAATAGTTTCTGTCACATCACAGAAACAATCCATGTATTGTTTCAGCTAAAAAATAATAATAAAATGATGCAATCTAAAAAATACATGTATAGTAACAATCTCAACAAAATAATCGCAACTTCCAAACGAACCCTTAAAATACCTAAGTTTCGCGCAGTTTGCTGCATACTAAAGGCGAACCAGATATGTGTTCGCAGGATTGGGAGCTAACTAGGTTGTTCGTTGGACAATAGGGTGGATCACGAAAAAGTTCATGAGAATGAGGAGCATACGGAATACTTGTTGTTGGTTAGAAAAGCGAAGTAATACGGTTCGCTGCCTATATGTAAGCGAACTATTGTGGTTTGCTACCCATGTAAGCGAACCACTTTGAATAACTACCGACATATATATGCTTATATAGTTCGCTTTCAATATTAGTGAACAATGTGGTTCACTGCCTAGTGTAGTGAACCACTTCAAATTATTTTGTGAAGTCGTTTTCTCTCGACATGTTTCGTGACAGGGCGCAAGGATAGGGTTTATTAGCGAGAGTGGATCGTTGGGGTGGAAAGCGAACTACTACTCAGTGAAAGAAAATAAATACCCATCCCCTTTTTAGCTCCGTCCTCTCATCATCATTAAAAAAACCCAGCAAAAGAAGCAGAAAGAGCACAAAATTATCAACAAAGAATAAGGAGGTTCATGGAGCTTTTGTCATTTAAAGGTATGTTTTGTCATGTTGGATGTAGCACGGGTTACATAATCCTTTGAGTGTAGTTTGAGTATAGATTAGGGATTTGATTTAATGCTTCGTTGTTATATTTAGGTATAGTTATATTGGTTGTTATATTTAAGATATGTTCTATTAGTTCGTTGAGCTTCTGTCATTTTAAAGTATATTTTTATGTTTTTGGTTGTAACATGGATTAGATTACCCTTTGAATGTAGGTTATATATGGATTAGATTTTTGGTTGTAAACTCTCCCCGCCAGCTATGTCTCCAAATCGGCTTCCTTTTCCAAAAGTAGAAGAACCTCACTTAATTTCGAATCGCTCGACTAGTCTTGTCCCGTGCCGCCGCCTAATTCTTGCACGGCAGTTCCAGCCCTGAAACCTAAGTACAACATCATCAGGAAGAATCTCAACATGATTCGAGTCGCAGCGCCGCCACCACCAGTCAAATTGCGGAAGTGCAGTGGTGGTAGCGAAGACCTCACAAAGCCTGAGGTTTTACGCGAGAGTAGAGGCGAACTGGATGGTGTAGGGAGAGGGGTGGATTACGATGGCGGTGACGAGTTTAGAAGAATGCCCGCCACTGCATTTTCGTCGGACGAGGGAGGAAGATTGCTGTCGGAAGGAAGGTGAAAGGAGGGGCACCTGGTGGTTGGGGTTAGGGATAAGTGGATGATAGGGTTAATGAAGGGAATCCAACATTTTTAATTTTTTTTTCTTTTGTTCAAAAATCAAAATAAAAAATAAATGGTAATATGTGGAAATTAAAAAAACAAAAATTTGCTGAGTTGGTTGTGACATGGCGCGTTGACCGTTAGCCATCCAAGTTAACAGTCAAACGTCGGGTTTGGCAATTAGTTATTTTGATGTATAGTTTGGGTCAGGATGTTACAGATCAAAAAGATTGGCCAAGATGTTTATTTTGGTCAAAGTTCAAGCCATACAAATATATTAACCCTTGATTTTTTTTTATCTTAACGACCTATTGATTTGTTGGAATGGTCGAGTGACAAGATTTAATAATAGTGTTGACTATTATGGTGGTGAGGCAAACACTTTCCGCACTGAGATCAGATTTGGTTTGCGAGATCTCTTCCACATTTGTGAGGAACGGTGTTGCACATGTGGTCCTTGGAGAGTATGCAAGATGACATATCAGCTGCCGGTTTACAACGGATATGCAATGGTGTATGAAGAATCAATCTTGTCTGATGATGATGGAATTAATATGATGTTGGAGTTCAAACCATGCATTGATGATTTTCACCACTGTCTGCCGTTAATCCAAGAGGATAGAACATTTCTGATGGGCAAATACAAGGGTACTCTACTCATCGCAATGAGTATTGATGACAATAAACAAGTCTCCCCGATTGCATTTGTTGTAGTTGAATTCGAGAACAACGATAGTTGGTCATGGTTTTCCCTACAACTATACACTCGTGTCACTCAACGGAAATACATTGATATCCCTCATAATCGTCAATGTGGCATTGCACATGCAATGTAAGATTTTCCCAAGGACCTGGATAAAAGTGGCGATGGTGCATACACCATTTCAACAACAATTCTACTAGTAAGTTTGGCCATACATTGAGCCAACATAAGGTTTGGCGAGCCGATAAGTACAATTTACGGTTCTTTAATGTATTATTTGGTTGAAAATATATTGGAATAAAAGAAATATGTAAAAATGGTTCCGCGATGGTCATACAAATTAATCGATACTTTGTAACAGCAAGAGGGAGACTCAAAAGAGTGAGAGTGGATCATGAAATTCATTCACGAAAATCCAAACGTGTGATAATTTTTACTGACAATGCACAAAATAATGATATTCATAATAAAGAACAAAGAAACACCGTATATCAGCAAGGATTGAGCAACTGAGTTTTTAACTTTCTTCTTAGGTACAGGGTTCTGTCTAGGTTACAGCTCGACACCGTCAAGAATTCCCGACTGTTGCGTGGGAACAGGTTCATTTTCGAAGATCAAGTTGGTGAGTCGTGTGATGGGAAACCTTCCCGCACGGTTCGGAGAGCACTGAATTAGAATGAGAGGTTCACCACCACATCATTGCATGCAAGGGGAGCTCGCTCGATTCGCAATCCTACAGATCCACTCTTTTTCCTATTCAAATATAAGCCCTTTGGCCCAGAATTGATGTGCACACGAATCATAGGGACTAGTAACGACAATATGCCCATATTGGTTACTTTATCGTTGTTGTTATCGTCATATTTCTAAAGCCGAAATCACTGAAAAATAATATTAAGATAAATTAAATACTAAATAATAATATATAATTTTATTAACATCCTGGAAAATGGACAAATTCCTTTTCTTAGGAACACATATAAGATTCGACACTCCAAAAAGGATAATGGTAACCCCACCACTCACTATTTCATTTATTAACTATTTTCAGTAATGAATTTCATAGTAATAGTAATAGAAAGAAAACACATGTATATCCAACTGGTAAGGCTTGTTGGACAGCCCATTGGCAGACTTGAGTAATTGCTTTTTGTTGTTCAAAGTGAATGGTCGTAAGTTCGAATCCTACTTGGGCAGATTTGATTCATTCCGAATTCTTTAATCTTTAATTCGGAATGAAGGGCCAAACTGTACCAGCTTTTTCCAAAGCATACGACTTTTCGGGTGTAGATGATAATGATTTCTATACAGATGGAGTCTATATATCGTAAAATGAAGTAAAGTGCTCCATGAGTGTTATTTATCTATCTCATTAACTGCGCCGAACATACTTTTTCAATTTATCTTTCTCTCAACTTGAATCCTATGAGGCGGGCCTTGGATAGTTTTCGAATAAGCAAGAGGTTAATTCTTGTTCTTTAAATAACAACTCTTTTTGTTTTCAAATCAAATACAAATAGGTCATTTATTACAATTTACTGAAACAAAAAGAGTCTAGGACTTTGAAGGCTCTAGAAAAAGAAGAATTTTCTAACAAAATAAAAAAGTCCTCAAAATGAGGAATCCGTCTGAGGAAATGCTCGCGTCTGATTAGCTAGTTGGTGAGGTAATAGCTTACCAAGGCGATGATCAGTAGCTGGTTCAAGAGGATGATCAGCCACAATGGGGCTGAGCCACGACCCAAAATCCTATGGGAGGCAGCAGTGGGGAATTTCCCGCAATGGGTGAAAGCCTGACGGAGCAAGGCCGCGTGAAGATAGAAGGCCTACGGGTCGTGAACTTCTTTTCCCTGCAGAAGAAGCAATGGCAAAGAAAAGTTTGATTCAGCGTGAAAAGACAAAAAGAAAAATTGGAACAAGAATATTATTTATTTCGTCGATCCCCAAAAAAGAAATAAGTAAAGTTCTGTCATTGATCGATAAATGAAAAATTCATGAAAAGTTCCAATCCCCACCGAAAAATAGTGCACCGACACGTCCTCTACTTCAATTGGTATTCTTTTACATAAATCAAACATGAGATAGCAAGATTAAGGATTTCACTAAGATTTCGAATAACTGCTTTATTTGCAAATCCTTTTGTTTAATCCTATTAAAGAAAAAGGATATTTTATTGTTTTTCTTTCTTTTTCCTGAATTCTACCAAGATTTCGGCCCCAATACTAAAGATATTTACGATGTCCAGTATCTTATCACTAGCTTCATCCGCATTAATGGGCATGAGTGGTTTTTTTGGTGGATCTATCTCATACTGTATTCTCGTAAGATGATATACATTAGCTAGCAGCCCGCCCGGTGTTACATCATAGGCACATTGGGAACATAGATAATTGTAACTATATAAAAGATACATTTGACGACAAGTCTGCGTCATTTCAGCTACTACAATATTGTACTCCATTGCCCCTCTTTCCTGTAAAGAGGTCGGATTAGCTGAAAATCAAAGTTTATCTAAAGCTTGTTCGGAACTTAATTTGAAAGCCATGTTTCGCCCCAGACGTTTTCGAGAGGCTTCTAATAACCAACAATTGGAAAGTGCTTTTTCCTATGTGGAATCCCTATTTCAATAGAAACTAATATGTGTTTGTTTCTCACTAACCCTGAAACTCTTTCATGGAGCTACAACTTATCAAACCCGAAAGTATACAGACCTTATGAAGCATGTAAGAGAGGTCCACCCTGAAGGTGTAAATTGGCTACAAAGGCATGATTTTCAGAAGTGGACACTACATCAAGACGGAGGGTATGTATTGCGTAACAACGACGGACATGGGAGAGAGCTTCAACGGTTTGTACCTTGGCATTTTTACAAAATTAATATCAGTTATAGTCCAGCATACATTCTTCGGGATAGTTACATGGTTCATTGAAGGAGCCAAGCGGCAGTTGAGTTGCTAGATGCTGGATATCTCATCCCAGAAAAGATAACAGAATAAATGTGTCCATGGAGTGAAAGAACAAAATTGCATATGGACTTTGTTCAATCGAGAAAATGGCCTCCTTGGAGTAGAAACAAGAAGGCCAACTGGTGGAACAATCCCACTCTGACGGTGCCAAAGAAGGGAAACACTCTAGTGATAAAAACAAAAAATGTTTGTCACAATAGATTTACTACGATGGTGCTCTTGCTACAAAATCTTGTAACATAGTGGACAACTATTGTGACAAAAAATGGAGCATCGTAATAGGTATATTTTGTCATGGTGTGATGACTACATATTTACACATGTTTTATCCCTCATTTATTTATTTTTTAGCTTTCCGTTTATCATACATTGGCCTATTTAATGCTAGGTTGTGTTCCTTTGACACATTTCAGGTCCTAGCACATAAAGTGAAGCATAGTCGCAAGTTTCAAGTCAATGGAGATCAATTGGCAACTCGGGGGAAGAAACTCACGCATGACCTGAGGAAGAATGGATTTAAACCTCATTTTACGGAAAATTAATCTGTAAGCTTGTTATGATGATAAAGAGGAAGAGACTACAAGCATCTAGGATCAAACAGTGTCTAATTCGGAGTCCGAACGAGGGAGAAATGAGACATTCAGAACCAGGGAATAAGAACAATGAATTCTAGGGTGGAGGCCAAATCCATGGTCGTGGATTAGGGGTTCAGACCGTGGATTTTGCACGACCGTGGAATATAAGGGGTGATCATAAAACGTGCCAGCAGCAAGTATAAAGGCCCGTTTTGTGCGTTTTTTGAGGAAGAGAGCTGGGTTTTGGATCCCAAACACCAAAGGATGAACCCTGAAGAAAGAGAGCACTTTGGGATCATTCTTGGAGCTATTTTGGAGGATTTCTTCGCCATTGGAGTTCGGAAAACAAGCTTGGAGATGGAGATTGAAGATCTACATCAGATTTCTACATTCTCTCTCTTCTCTATGGAGTAACTTCCCTTCACTTAGGTTTTGAGAAACTCTAGTTCCATGTGTTAGGATCTCTCTTGTATGAACTTTTAGATGTTATACTATTTAATTTAATCAATTGAGGCATGATTTGTTGAGTCAATTGGATCCTGATATGCTTTAACCTAGGATAGATAGAATCTGATTAGGTTGATAGAGCTTCTTCAATTGATAGGAGTGAATTGATTGTACGAGAGTCAGTCAATTCGGTGCTTTGTACTGGAGTTCATTCCAAGTAGTGGAGATCTGTGTGAATCGTCTTAGCATTCTATCCTGGTGAAGGCTAGTTGTCTGCCTGATAATCTGTCTAAGAGGGCTTGGTCAGCTCAATAGATTCGAAACTATTTTCGGATCTTTCGCAGTTTAATCAACAGTAAAACGATCAAAATAAATTATAACTTAGACTTAATTGAGGATAGGGGGATCATACTTAAGTGAGTTCCCAAACTGTAATTAGTAGAGTAGTTTAGTAAATCAATTCTTAATCTGATTTGCTACATAATGAACTGAAGCTGAGTAATAATAACTCTAGAGACTTGTGAATTCGATATTTACTACTTGTGTCACACGATTGCAGTCTCTTTCATTGGTTACACTTGGGCCATTGTTAAGGATTTTGTTTTAGCGAGTCATGGTGCGATAACCTAACCTTGCCAATGCTAGATATCTGAACTTAAGTTCCATTGGGTATCTTAACCTGTAGATTATCGCACATATTATGTTCATCACAAAGGACATAAATATCTTTGGTAATATGATCGTTACACTTGGAATCAATCCAAAGCCATCATGGAGAGGAGAGTAAATTTTGCCCATACCCATGGGTATTTTACTATCCAACCCAATTGGGTTGGGTATGGATTCCAAATAAATGGTAGATGGGTAGAGTTTGATGGATTTGTACCCATACCCATTTACTTGGGTTGGGTTGGGTTTTTAACATATGGATTTGGGTTTGTACCCATGCCCAAAGGCAAATTACAGTTTGGTACCTAAACTTAATAGATATGCAGATTTAGTACCTAAATTTAATTTTTTGCATATAAGTCCTCAAAATATCAATGGAAAATTACGTTTTGGTACCTAAATTTTTTTTGTCTTGCATTTTGGTACCTAAACTTTTCAAGTTTTACAAATAGGTCCAATTTTTGTGTGTAGTTAAAACACCCACAAGTAAATGGATATCCATATCAACTCATACCCATTTACATTATGAAAGCAATATCCATACCTAACCCAAACCCATCTACAAACCTCCAAACTCATATACACTTCATCCAAACCCTACCCATACTAAATGGATTTATTGGATTTGGGTAAACTTACCCATGGGTGGGTAATTGCCATCCCTAGGAGAGAGGCATGTACCATCGCAAAGCCATCATCAAGACAGACGAAGAAGTCAAGCAATCGTTGGCTTCATGCGAGGCATGCCTGCGCTTCTCGACATCACACTTGCACTTACCGTAAGGGCAGCTGGCGAGCGGATCCAGACTTTGAAGATCGTCCCAAAGGTGCTTAACCTTCACGTAGAAGGATGAAAATGAGGATGTCTCTTGGTGGAGATTAGCTATCTATCACCGAAGTTGATATCGCTTCTCAAGATTGTCGGTGATGAACCTTTTGAGTTCCTCTTAAATCTACTTAGCGGTGAAATCAGTACTGATGGTGCTCCGGATTTCACAATTCACTGCAACCCTAATCCATCCAACAACCATAACATTGCATCGGATCCATGCATCGAGCCGCATACCAGATTGAGGTTTTGGGACATTGCCGATGACAAATCACATCTTGTTCTTTGATAGCAAAACATTTGACGTGTCCGCCAACCAATCTCCATAATTGGATTTGGTAAGAGATCACTGGCGAACATCAAATTAGGGTGATCGGTGGAGGTAAGATATAATGGTGAGCTTGGCAATATATATCGCTCCATTGTTGTTCACTCCTTGCGCAACCACAGTCCCATCACTCATGACTGTTGTAACTTGTAGGCAACCAAAAACGATAATTTCAGCGGAAACTTGGAACTTGGAAGCAACGTGACTCACTCCTACTGTCACCCTAGAAAATAGCCAAGTATAACCACTTCCTAAAGCGTAGTATAGCGGGTCGGGTTTTAATGTCAACCCGGGTCCTAGATGTGATGACTACTCGGTGAGTTCTTGTTATTTAGCAGTGAACTTTTAGTGAAACTCAAGCAAACAAAACACAGAGCAAGTAAACGGTTTGTTGTCAGGTCAAGAGAGGTCACCCGGATATGGTTTCCCCCTAGACTGCAGTTAAGTCGGATTGCAATTTGCCAAGTTCAGTTTTCATGAAAGTTATACTGCGGAAGGTTCTCAATTAGCCTGAAGTCTCGACTAAAGGTCTCCAGACCCTCTCAATCTGAGTCTCTAGCGGGCGACTAACCTCCACCGGAGTAAACAGATTGAGGCCCTAATGAACCAAACCTCCACTACCGAATCGACTTCGGTACAGAATAGCGAATTGGCTCCTCGACTAAAGTCACCAATTCGCTACCTTCGATTAAGGGTACTCTATCAACCTAGGCAGATATTCTCATTCCAGGTTAAAGCAGAAACAACAGGAATTTGATCAGGATTCAAGTCATTCAATCAATTAAACCTCAATCGAATATAATCACTTCACAAACACTGTACTTGGGTTCATACAATCAGACCTAGCATACAAATCTAGGGTTCTCCATACCCAGATGAATGGGGAAACTACTCCATAGAGAAAGAAGCAAAAGCAGATTCAGACACGGAAATCATACTGTGAAGTTGGATTCCTGCTTCTGGACGTTTAATCGCACTTCTCCAAGCTCAAGACGGGCTCCAATGGTGTTGAAGATCGATCTATGGCGCTTGAGA